AGATTCTGTTGATTGTATGCAATAATAAAGAAATTTCTGTGAATTTTCTATTTGTTTGACCAACTCGACTATTTTTACATTTTATGTAATGGCGTAATTGCTTATAATCTTTAGCTCGATTTAATCATGATTTCAAATAATAATTGGAATGGCAAACTGTAAAAGTGTTTTTAAAGTAATTTAAAATAAACAATAACCACATAGTTGAATAAAATTAATAAAAATAATGGTAAATTTATTTTTACACGAATTTATAACTAAATTAAGTATGAAACCTTCATGATTCAGTTTTCAAGAGTTCATAGCTTTTTTTTCACGATTTCAATGAACAATTGCAGCAACCATTAGTGATCTCACAAAGTAAAACATCATTTGACTAACCGACTGACTGTCATACTTACTTTAAATTAAATGACGTCATAATCATAAGATACTGTTAATAAAGGTTGCGACAGTGTTACGCAACTATATTTTCTATATAATTATATAGCTCATATAAGAGATGCTAGTGTATGACGCAATTAGAAAGTGTTAGCAAAATATTTATCATTAAATAACACTTTTAAATGGAAAATGTTACAAAATCAGTTGTTTTAGCTCATATTTAAATTCAAAAATAAATATTTAAGTTTATTTTGTTAATTTTCGGTAGCAAAAATTGAATATTAAAGAAAATTTTCATTCAAAATATATTATTTCAAATTTTTAATCAAATATAATTGCCTGTATACTATGAATGATTGAATATACCATAGAGTAACAAGAATAGCATTAAATTTACTAACACAAATTAACTTTTAAACACTTTAAAAGTAGACTTGTTTACATGGTTACTTGTCTCTTTAAGTTTTAAGTGGCATGTTAATTTGAAAATTTTAAATTTTTAAATGTCCGTTTACGATTGGATATTTTATTTGACGAATTTAAGTTTTCTGCAAATTTAAAAGCGTTTATTTTATTTTAATATACTGTTATTTTTAAGATTATTTTAAAATTAATTTTGTTAGTTTTATTAATTTAGATTTTAGAATTTTAATAATAATTCATTAGTCAGTCTGACTCTGACACTAACAAAGTTTTTTTCATGCCTAACTGACATCTTGTTAGTGTAGTTAGTACTTAGATCTATTAACTGATTGCCATCTTGAATTCAAGTTTGCAGTGTTTCAAGCAAAATGAAGTTCAGTGAATTTTGTGGAGGGCCATTTTGGGTTAGAGGTTTTTTTTTCTTGCTTAGGGGCCGTTCGAGTATTACGTAACACGAAAAAACGACTTTTGACCCCCTCCCCCCCCTTCGTAACACTTCCGTAACAAACGACTTACCCCCCCCCCCTGCTACGTAACAAAAAATATTTTTAATTTTTCGGTAATAAAAAACAATTGAATTTAGAGTAGAAGCAGAATTTTTTTTTTTTTTTTTTTCTGTATGTACCATGCGGTCACGAAAATGCATTGTATTCGTCGTGTTTTTTTATCAGAATGTTCATAACTGCTAAGTTTCATGGATGAAAACCACAAATTTAAAAAAATATGATCATTAACCATTTATTAACATAGATTCTATAAAAACTACACTAATATTTGTGTTTTAGAATGAAAAATTAAATTTATTAATAATGAAAAATATAAAAAACATCATTTTTTTCTGTGTTATGTAACAATTTTTGAACCCCCCTCCCCCCGTAACACTCCGTAACAAAATCTTAGACCCCCCCTCCCCCCCCCCGGAGCGTTACGTAATATTCGAATGGCCCCTTACTTATTTGATTTGCAGTCATGTCATTCATGTTGAAATTGAATTTCACTTATATTTATTTATAACTTTATCCAAGTTTTATTTTATTCTTGTTTTACTTTGATAATTATTTAATTTAATTAAAAATTTTTCAACACTAATTGACAGCTGATGCTATGATGAAAAATAATTTTTTTCTTCACAGAATTTTTCTCTAACAGTCGAGACTAACCATCCTGATCTTACAGACTGTTTTCAGGACAGCATCCTGATATGGCTGCCATGCTTCTTTCTTCTATTAGTTTCACCATTTTATTATCTTTGTTACTTAAAACGCATAAAATTACATCAGGAATTATTAAACAACAGACAAATGTCTAAATTGGACATCACTAAACTAGTAAGTTTACTTTTTGATGAATTCTCTTTGTATTGTTATAATTATTTTATTCATTTATAAATTTAAAAAAATTATTTCAACTGACTTCTACTAAATAATTATTAGCTATTTTTATGTGTTGTAAAATAATTTCATGGAATTAATAAAACCTTTTGAACGCTCAGACATTGACGATGATGTTGTTCTTAACATCTATCTCTGTACTAATACATAACATAGCGATGTACATGAGAAATGATGGTGATTCAGTTGTCACTATAAAGCCTGTTAATGTTGTTTCACCGGCAGTTCAAGCATTAACTTTCGTTGGTTTTTAATTTGTATTACCTTGTATTGTTTTGTATTGTTTTGTATAACTTTCATTCTTTAAGATATTATATTTTTTTATTGCACACACACACACACAAACACACACACACACACAAACACGCACGCACACACACACATACTCATTATTGTTAGGTTATATCATTGTTACTACTTGTTGAAGAAAGTGAAAAATTGTTAATAACCTCTGGGGTTCATTTCTTGTTTTATTTCTTCTGCACTGTATCTGGCCTCTTTAGTGTGTTGTCAATCATTTCTAGAGCCATGAGTTATGAAGTAAGATGTGCGTATGTGTGCGTGTGTGTCTCGTGTGTGTTTTGTGTGCGTGCGCGTGTGTGTGTGTGTGTGTGTGTGCGTGTGTGTCTGAGATGAATTAATGAGATAATTAAATTAAATTTTGTCAGAATGCAGCATTAGAAATGTGGCCTCTATTTAAAATAATAACGTTTGGCGTGTACTATGCACTTGAGTTCATTCTCTTGGTCATATTCTGCTTCGCCGACAAGAAGCATTACGATGCTATCTTTCGTCTGAATATCTTGGAGGAAAAAGTTATTTGTATTTTTTGATGTTTCGTTTGTTTGTTTGTTTAATTGTTTGTTTGTTTAATTGTTTGTTTGTTTAATTGTTTGTTTGTTTAATTGTTTGTTTGTTTGGCACGATGACGACGAAAGTGATGACGGTAACAATAAAAGGTTAAAGGTTTCTCTCTCTTTTCCACCTGCTTCAGAGGTCTCAGCATATGATAGGCTGGGATCTCTTTGTATTCGAACCCAGTCACTGCAGCAACAAGACCAGGCACATTTAACCATTGTGCCATATATATATAATACTAATGATGATGAGGAGGATGAATTAGAAGATGACGACGATAACAACGACCATCCAACAAAACTTTGAAATTTCAACAGAGGCAATGCCCTGAAATCAAATCATCATTCTTATCTCGGATATCCTTCGCTTGGATAACCAAGTAGGTTGACGCCAATACCCATTCATTTATTCATTCGTTCATTCATTTATTCAATCATTCATCTATTCATCTATCAATTCATTCATCTATTACACATTCATCTAGCACATTACAGAACATTCATAGTACACAGCAATACATTAGTACCTCTCAAATACGTCTTAACTACACAATGTTACATCATCCTAAAGACAAAGTTTATTTCTTGAAAAATTTTCTTCATTCTTTTCTTACTGTTGCGAAGATATCCTTGCTTATCACACGTACACACACACACACACACCCACAAACACACACATCCACAAACACACACACACAAATACACACACACACAAACACACATACATACGCACACATACATACACACACACGTACATATAGACATACATACACATATGAAAACTTCAATTATTTTTACATTTTCGTTCTTTTTTCTCCAAATTTATTTCAGCCTGGTGTATTTGGGCTACAAGAAGACGTTAACTGAATCAGATATCTGGGATTTGAATGCGCGAGATCTGACGAAGCGTAATGCTGAAAGATTCGAACGAGTTTGGATGGAGGAAGTTTTAGAGTGTGGCAGGTCTTTTGTTGTTTGTTTGTTTGTTTGTTAAGATGTGGTACGTGTTGTATTGTGTGGTGTACTGTGTTGTTTGTATTGTATTGTATTGCATGGTATTGTGTTGTATTGGGTTGTATTGTATTGTGTTGTATTGTATTGTGTTGTGTTGTATTGTATTGTATTGTATTGTATGGTATTGTGTTGTATTGTATTGTGTTGTATTGTATTGTGTTGTATTGCATTGTATTTTTAGATTTGTATGGGTGTTTCTCTCTTTTTTTGACACATTTATCACAATTCACCGGTTTTTTATTTTTAAAAAAATTCCACCAAACAAACACAGACGAAACAGAAGAACGTTACTGAAGCACCGACATCAACTACCTTCCCACGAAGCCGACGAATCGACATCATTACTATCACCATCTCGACAACGATCATCATCACCATTAATAGCGCCGCCATCATCTTCGTCATCGTCGCCATCACAGCAACAACAGCAACAACAACACACAAACTTCGACGAAATACCTAGAGTAGCCATTGCCGATGGTAAAGGCAACAAGCTAAAAAAGCCATCGTTGTTTAAAGTCGTCGTGAAGGTATTTGGCTTTAGGATACTGCAGTCGCATTTCTTTGAGTTGTGTTGTAATTTTTTGGTTCTCGCTGGCCCATTATTGCTCAGGTTGGTTGGTTCGTTTGTTTGTTTGTTCGTTTGTTCGTTCATTCGTTTGTTTGTTTGTTTGTTTGTCTGGCTGGCTGTTTGTTTGTTTGTCTGTTTTTCGTCTGTCTGACCGTTTTCTCTCAATCTGTTTGTGTGTTTGTAATGTATAAATAATTACAGGCTAAATTTATTTTTGTTTTTTTCTTTCTTGTATTATATTTAGACTTTGATAAGGTCTGTTACATTAAGCAGATGCATTAAAATAATAATGATGATGATGATTATAATGATGATGATAATAATAATAATAACAATGATATTGACCTTGGCAGTTCGTTGATGACCTTCATAGAAAGCGGCACGCACGTGTGGAAAGGTTATCTGTTGGCAGTCCTGTTCTTCGTGATGACCATTCTAGACAGCCTTCTACTGCAGCAGGTTTTCCACATTGGCATGAATGCCGGAATGAGGATGAAGGGATGTATCATAGCTCTGGTCTATAAGAAGGTTTGCTCGTTGTTGGAATGGCTGGTTGGTTGTTTGGTTGGTTGGTTGGTTGGTTGGTTTGTTGGTTGATTGGTTGGTTGGTTGGCTGGCTGGTTAGCTGACTGATTGATAAATTGGTTTCATCTAATCAATTAATTCATCTAATTTACTATTCATCTACTAGCCTATTTACCAACCAATCGAATCCAGGCACTGACGATGAGCAGCCAATCACGTAAGCGCACAACCGTGGGCGAAATTACTAACTTAATATCGGTCGATTCGCAACGTTTGCAAGATTCGATCGAATATTCGTATGCGCTGTGGTCATCCCCGCTTCAGATTTGTCTATGTCTCTACCTACTCTACGGCATTTTAGGAGTCTCGGTATTTGTCGGTATCGGTATTTTGGTACTCTTTGTACCGATTAACTGGTGGGTGACAAGTAAACAAGGATCTGTAGAGGTGGGTTTTGTTGTTGTTTGTTTGGAGGGTTTTGAGATGGCCTTGTTGTTGTTGTTCATGCGATGGTGTTGTTGTTGTTGTTGTTATTGTTGTTGTAGTTGTTATGGTTATTGGCGATTGATGTTATAAAAGGTGACTCAGATGGGCATCAAAGATGAGAGGATCAAGCTCATGAACGAGATTCTTAATGGCATTAAAGTTCGTTTTATTTCTTTGTGACTTTTTGCTTCGCTTTTTTAGACTTCGGTTGTTGAGTTTGTCAGTGTGTGTGTGTTTGTGTGTGTGTGTATGTGTGTATGTGTGTGTACGTGCATGTACGTTGATTGCAATCAAACAAATCACAAATGCATACACACATATGCACTACACCAGGTCATAAAGTTATACGCCTGGGAGCTATCATTCCAGGAGAAAGTGAATGTGATCCGAAATTTGGAGTTGAAAACTTTGAAGAAGTATTATTACTACGTGGCTGTCTCCATATTCTCGTGGTCCTGTGCCCCGGCTCTGGTGAGATGGAGTGGGAGGGAGGGGGTGTTGTATAGTTTTACCTCGTTCAAATTCTTTTTTGCTGTTGGCTGTTACATCTGCATTTTTACTGTATTATTTTTATGTGTGTGTTTGAATTTAGCATTTGATCTGTTCTGTCATAATCTTTCTCTCTCTCTCTTTCTTTCTCTCTCTCTCTTTCTTTCTTTCTCTCTCTCTCTTTCTTTCTTTCTCTCTCTCTTTCTATCTATTTATCTCTTTCTCTCTCTCACACACACACACACGTGCACATATAAACACAAAGGTCATGTTAGTTATCTTTGTCACTTACGTTTTGACCGGTGGTATGTTGGACGCCAACAAGGCTTTCACGGCCCTGTCTCTTTTCAACATTCTCAAAGAGCCCATGTTTATGTTCCCAACGATGATGTCCTACATCGTTATGGTCGGTTATTGTTATTTTTGTAACCTATAACCTTTAACCTTTATTGTTGTTTTTATTGTTATTAATAACAACAGCAGCGGTAGTAGCAGTAGTAGTAGTAGCAGCAGCAGCTGTTGCATCATCGTCGTTGTCTCCATCATCACCGTCATCTCAACATAGTCGTTCGTCTCTATGATTAATTATCGCTATATATTTATCATCGTCGTTTTCATCATCATCATCATTATCACCACCATCATCATCATCATCATCATCAACACCATCACCACCATTGTCATCATCATCATCGTCATCATCGTCATCATCATCATCATCATCGTCATCATCATCGTCAGGGTTTCGTGTCACTTCGTCGGATTGAGAAATTCCTCCAATGTGCCGATGTCAATCCGAACAACGTCATCGAATTGGAGGAAGATAAGGATGATGATAAAGGTGATGATGATAATAATAATAATATAATAATAATAATAAATGGAAACAATCTTTTATTCAGCAATAAAAAAACAATGAAAATGGCAGTAGAAATAGAATAAAATAAGGAAATAAAGTAAAAATGTCAAATGCAATAAATAGAGTATTAATCTAAGAAGCTCATCATTCGAATCGAGAGAGAGAGAGAGAGAGAGAGAGAGAGAGAGAGAGAGAGAGAGAGAGAGAGTACGACCAGAGTTAATTACCTTTAAAATTGATTCATTCCACATTTCTGTCGCAATAGCAGAGTTTATAAAGGTTATTGCAAAAATAATCATCTCAGATAATATTTATTAGCGAAAGATTAAATGCTTTAAAGAGACCTAAAGTAGATATTTCAAATGTAATAACAATAATAATAACAATAATAATAATATTATTATATTAATAATATCCGCATAATTATTTCCACACGTTACAACTCAGACAGCGTAATGATTGAGGATGGGACGTTTGCCTGGGGAGACACTGAAGACGATGTTAACATTCTTAACAAGTTAGCAGGCAGACACCCCATTATTATTAATATTATTTTATTATTGTTAATTTATTATTATTAATTTATTATTATTAATTTATTATTATTATTTTATTATTAATTTATTATTTCACCGATTTTTTTTAAAAATCAAATTCAGTATTAACCTGAAGGTGAAGAAAAAATCGCTGACTGCCATTGTAGGCCAAGTTGGGATTGGTGAGTTTAGAAGTCGTAGTAGTAGTTGTAGTAGTAGTAGTAGTAGTAGCTGTAGTAGTAGTAGTATCAGTAGTAGTAGTAGTAGTAGTAGTAGTAGTAGTAGTAGTAGTAGTAGTAGTAGTAAGTAAATTTTTTTTCAGGCAAGTCGTCCTTGCTATCAGCCATGCTGGGTGATATGGAGAAAAAAGGGGGTCTGGTTACTGTCAAGGTGATGATGACGATGATTGTGGTGATGATGATGATGATGACGATGATGATTGTAGTGATGATGATTGGGATGACGATGATGATGGCGATGATGACTGTGATGATGATTGTGATGATGAATGCGATTATGATAAAAATACAAAGATAATATCTGCTATGGCCAGGACAAATTAATATGAAAGCCATTAGTGATCAATTATTATTAAAAATATTTACGTGTGTGGGATGTTAATAATGACGAACTTTAAAAAAAAATACCAACCAACTAAATGAACAACCAATCAACCAACCATCCAACCAACCAATCAACCAACCAACCATATAACCAACCAACCAATCAACCAACCAACCAATCAACCAACCAACCAATCAACCTATCAACCTTTCAACCAACCAATCAACCTATCAACCTTTCAACCAATCAACCAACCAACCAACCAATCAATCAAAATCCTCCCAACCCACTACAATAAAAGGGGCGCATTGGTTACGTATCCCAGCAAGCATGGATTGAGAATGCAACATTGAAGGCCAACATACTCTTCGGAAAAGAGTTTGACGAGGAGAGATATAACAAAGTTATCGAAGCATGTGCACTAAGACAAGATCTCGAGATCCTGCCTGGAGGAGATATGACGGAAATTGGAGAAAGAGTTAGGTGGTTGATTGGCTGGCTGGCTGGCAGGCTGGCCGGCCGGCTGGCTGGCTGGTTAAATGGTTGACTGACTGACCGAACGACCAACCGACTGATTGATTGATTAGTTGATTGGTTAGGGTTAGGATTCATCACATTTCATCACATATACAACTGACTGATTGATTGATTAGTTGATTGGTTAATTGATTGAGAATGATTGATTAAGAATGATTGACTGATTTAATTAAGATATTTCCTCGCGAATACAACCCATTCATTCATTCATCCAATTCATTCATCCGTAACAACTCAAGGGCATAAACTTGAGCGGTGGTCAGAAGCAGCGAGTGAGTATGGCGCGCAGCATCTATCAGGACTGCGACGTCTACCTACTTGATGACCCCCTCAGCGCCGTGGATGCTCATGTGGCAAGGCACATTTTCACGAACGTCATTGGTCCTCGAGGAATGCTTAGAGATAAAGTGTGCTTGTCGTTTTGTTTGTTTGTTTGTTTGTGTATCTGTGTGTGTTTGCGTGTATCTGTGTGTGTTTGCGTGTATCTGTGTGTGTGTGTTTGTGTGTAAATGATATCTAATACCTTGTTTGTTTAATTTCGTCTGTGTATGTGTTTGTGTGTGCATTAAGCTTGATAATTATGTACTGATTTTTCCATGTTTCCTTTCAATTTCTACGATAAATAACCGAATTTTTTTCTCTAATTTGTTCTCTCTGACTTTGCAGACTCGAGTGCTTGTCACGCACGGAATCGCTTGGCTGCCGTCGTGCGACGTCGTTGTGGTAATGGCCGCCGGTGGCCTGATATCAGAGTGTGGCTCCTACAGAGATCTGCTGAGTCACAACTTAGTCTTTGCGAAATTTATCAGGGATTTTTTACAAAAGCATGAAAACGACGACGACGAGGAAGATGAGGAGGAAGATGGTGCTCGTGATGATGACGATGATGATGGTGCTCGTGATGATGATGGTGCTCGTGATGATGATGGTGCTCGTGATGATGATGGTGGTGGCGCGAGAAAAGTTAGGAGTAAAGTTAAGAGTCTTGAGTTTGATCAGCGAGATGACGACGACGACGATGTTGGGGATTGCCTGCAACTGTCTCCAACCGAGATTCCTGCTGATGTCTTTGCACGGTCTTCAGTTGAGACCAGTCGGTTTTCATATT